AAATTATTTAGCTTTTTTCCATTTGCTTTTAAAGTTTTTTTTTTTTTTTTTTTTTTTTTTTTTTTTTTTTTTTTGGGGGATTCATTAGTCACTAAAGTTAATTAATGTCATAACATTGGCCACCTTATTTATGAATTTGGCAAGCCAAAAAGATTTGAACATTTGAAGCATGAAGAAATCCATAAAGCTTGAAGATTTTGAGAATGTTTGACATTTGTTTATAATCAATCAAGTTAATTTTTATCCACACTTTTGTGGAATCTACCAATACTGATTCACTGTGGAATCATTCGTCTTTCTATATATTCATAATTTAAATAATTTATAAACAACTCCCAAACGTGTTTTGTGAATGACAAACCACACTGAAGATCGAAGATTGAAGAAACATAATCCTGCAACCTTTGTATGCTTCGAGGAACATTGTAACATATATTAAACATCTAGAATATCAGGTTCAATTGAATCTAACAAATTTTTAATTACAGCAATTGACCATTGAGGCTCGCTGGAGCTGGTGGTGCAACCAAGAACCAATGGAGGAGTAATTAGGGAAGGTGACAATATGAATTTCTCTGTGATGAGATTGCCCTCTGCTAAAGTCCCATCCGCATAGAAGTATGAATAGTGGCATAAATTGTTCACACAAGAAGTTGGAAGGGTAAAATCGGGATTTCGTGGCATGCAAAGTGGGCTGTTGCATGGGAGGTTAGAGAAGGAAGAAGATAGAGAAGGATCAAACGACGTCGTTGGGGACATTCTTGGTAACTTTCTTTGGCATTGAGTCCATGAAAGTTGGCTGCCTGTGTCCAACACCATTGGTAGAGTCTGTGGTGGGGTCCCAATTGGGAGAGAAACAATCAGAGCCATTGAGTACCTGAATGATGATTCATAGTTTATCAACGGTGATGATGAGACTGCACCATTTGATCTTTGATGGCCATGTCCTTTTGGTAATGACACAAGAGAAGAAAATTTATTTCTTCTTGGGAAGAATAAGTGCTGTGAGAGAGAGGGACGGACGAGAGGGAAAAGGAGAGAGAAACCGAGTGATTTTCACCCGTCGTGTTCTTCAGTGTCGCGTTTCTTGTTTCTATTTCTGTACAACCCAGATTGAGAAAATTCAAAAACACCAGACATAATAGAAAGAGAGAATTGTAGAACGCCATGAAATAGTTATAGCGAGAGAGAGGAGGCCCTGGGGTGGAGGAGGTGTGTGGTGGTTTTATAGCGGGGTTGGCCTTGAAATGTGGAGGTGACTCTGGTTAGGGGTGGTTGGTATTTTGTACAGCCAAAAAAATGAGGAGTTTCTTACATTCTTAAAGTTTGAGTGGTGTTTTCTAAGGTTTCGACAGTTAAGGATACATCGTCTAATGTTGTAAAGTGATTTGTACCGGTACAGCATGTTTGTCTTTTAAGCTAAGACTCATAAATAAGCTAAGATATAATATAATTTTTATTTATTTATTTTTAAATTTTTTTTTTTTGGTTATGAGTAGGCAGGGATCATCGTCAAAATAAATAACTTAATATGAAATTTGACTACGTAAAATTGCTAGCTTTTGCATGACAGCGTGTTAAGATGAAACGATAATATAATTAACTTGTCTAAATGTTACGTGTTTCAATTACAAAAGAAAATATCATATTTCTAGGGTTTTTAGGAAAGAACATATTACACAATCAACTATCAATAGCTTTAAAATTAGCGTGTAGTTAATTTCATAACTGGTCATTGAAGTTTGTACAAAATTTAAAGTTGGTTTTAAAGTAATTTTTTTACTCATTTAGTCACTAAAATTAGTTAGCTTTATACCATTAGCTTTTAAAGTGTTTCTTTTCTTTTCTTTTTTTTTTTTTTTTTTGGGGGATTCATTAGTCACTAAAGTTAATTAATGTCATAACATTGGCCACCTTATTTATGAATTTGGCAAGCCAAAAAGATTTGAACATTTGAAGCATGAAGAAATCCATAAAGCTTGAAGAGAATGTTTGACATTTGTTTATAATCAATCAAGTTAATTTTTATCCACACTTTTGTGGAATCTACCAATACTGATTCACTGTGGAATCATTCGTCTTTCTATATATTCATAATTTAAATAATTTATAAACAACTCCCAAACGTGTTTTGTGAATGACAAACCACACTGAAGATCGAAGATTGAAGAAACATAATCCTGCAACCTTTGTATGCTTCGAGGAACATTGTAACATATATTAAACATCTAGAATATCAGGTTCAATTGAATCTAACAAATTTTTAATTACAGCAATTGACCATCCAAAAATTGAGCCCTATAATGTATCATCATTTGTAAATACTAAACATTATAATTAAATTCAAAAGCTTTTCCCTAACAAAAAAAAAATGGGGAAAAACTAATTGTTACATATGTCGAAATATTTTATTGTTTACCGTGCAATGAGTAAAAAAATGTTAAAAATTTTATTAATTAGATTATACTCTTGTAAAATATGTGCAATAATTTGTATAATGTGACCATTAGGTTCATATGATTCAACGTGTTTAACATAAAAAAAAAATAAAAATAAAAATAAAAAAATGCAACATATCTATAGCTTTGGATTGTTGCGACTGCAATGCTGATAGGTCGAAAATGGTCTGTCTAATTTTGCTTACGAGCCAGCCCTATAAGCAAAAAATAATAATAATAATAATAAATTAAATTGAGTTGACTCTTTTCATGATTCACTCCATATGCGAGTTTGCAAACGGCTCGCCTTATTTGACATCCCTAACTGAAACTAACATTGTCAAAGAGGATCCCAAGGTAACCTCATCCTTCAAAATAATTGGAGCACCAAAAAATTAGCTAAGTGTTTATCTAGTAATCATTTCGACCTCAATAATAAACTCAGAAAAATATAGTGGAGGCCTTCATATATGTGAGGACTGTTATATGCGATAGAGATGACAAGTTATGTCAATTGACAATATGTGTGTAAAATCTTAAAATATCTTGTCATTGAGAAACAAAAATTGATTGTAATAACGTAATTAAGCTCCTGTTTGGTTCTCACTGTTAGTTATAGGATCATTTTCAATCATACATTCACACAATAAAATATTCTGTACGTAAACTTAATTTTTTCCTACTTTTTAATCGCAATTTTTTCTAAAAATACAATGTTATTAAAACCGGACCGGTTCAACCGAATAATCCTTAAATCGGTACAATCCGGTTAGTTGTTGGTCAAAGCCCATTCGATTCAAAACAGATAAAAAACCGTTCATTTGACTGGTTTATCCACTAATTGGCAACCCGAAACCAATTTATCCGATTCTGTTGGTTTTTAAATGTTTTATATAAGGGAAAAAAATCAGAAATACCCTACATATAAATAAAATTTCATTTTCTACTACTGTACTAAAATAAATGTTGGGATTACTATATTACTAAAATAAATTCCCATTTTTACTATAATCCAAACTTTCCATATTTTAACCCGTAATTGAAACCAAAATTAGATACAAAATAGAAAACGGAATTAATTAATTGAGAATGCTGAAATCCTGGGAATTCAAATTCAAACCATTAAAATGCTACTGTAACAAGAGCAGCAATGGTGGAAGTGACGAATCCAAACTTGTATCTCAGTTAAATTCTCCTCTGGTATAGTTTCATCGACTGATAAATTTTTATTGCTCACTTTTGTAGATTGATTATCATATGAAGTCAATTGAACAATCAAATTATGTAACGGGTAATATTACATTGTATTGTCCTTCTTCTGTGTAATCTTACCAAATATGTTCCGTCTTTTGATTTGACTTCATAATTTGTTTGATTCAAATGAATGGGATTTCAGAAAATTACATAATTTTTTTCACACATTCCAGATTATGAATGATACACATATTAATTTAATCACATTACGCTTATCATAATTTAGTTCTTTCCACTTTTTTCTTTTTACAGATGTGAAATTCATGAACGTTTTCATAACGTGCAATGCGATGACGTTTGTTATTCTATTACCAATTGGATGCAAATAGGGATCTAGTTGACATGATAACCGCTGAGATGCAAGTCGATAAAATGAGGTCTTGCTTGAAGATAGATTATGATGTAGGTGAAAACATGGCTACCCCTAAGTATCACAAATGACAATCCACTAGTGTTCTATATGGAGCTAAAGAAGTGTAATGCTAGTGATATATTGAACCAAAATGTATATGAATTCGATGAAGTACAGTGTCCAAGTTTAGCAGTTTGTCCTCAAATGGAACCGGTTGAAGAAGACTTAGGGAAGAATAGCGTTGAGATTATGAAACCTAGTGTTGAAGTTGTTGCTGAAAATAAGATATTTAGGGACAAGAAGTTGATGAAGAGTGTTGTTGCATTATATGCTACTTGAAAGAACTTCCAATTCGAGGTGTACAAGCCCAACAAACGTTAGTACATTCTGATTTGTGGAACTCTAGTGGACGCATAGTTTTCTTACAAATGCTTTATCTCGTGCTGTTGACACATATTTAGTACAGTATAGAATGTGGGTTCGTGAATATGATAAGTTTGATGTTCCCTATTCATGTAACTTGTTGCCAATATCTCCCAAGTCGTTTGATTATGTTTATAGAATCGTTTGGAATAAAATTCAAGTTAAGTTTGCTTGGGAATGCAACGGATGTCAGCTCTATCAGTAATTCCATGTACAACAGTAAGCTCTGTCAGGAAAGCCATGGATTTTGGCAATGTTGATAGGTTATTTACAATACAGCATTAGCTTAACTATAGATGAACAAAGTCACTAGACAAAATATTGATTCTAGAGATATGTATAAAATATAATTGGATGATTATTAGTGTTTATTATTTAGCTTTGCTAATTTTGAAATGTAAATGTGCATATTATGAACAGATGACATTGCTTTGTCAATATAAAACATTTCATAGTTAGGAACGTTTAGCTTTTTGGGTAGGTATAATTATCAACTGTAGATTAATTTATTAAAGACAGCAACTCAATGTCTGATGTGTATTAGAAAAGAAGTCTACAGTTAACAAAACATTGTTGAGCCATGTGAAATGAATGTCATAGATTGGAGATGAATGTAGAAAGATAGATTAAAAGTGATAGATCATGTGGCTTTCTTGTAAATGAAA